GACGAAGAAGTACTTGTGCCAAAATTTACGACTCGCTCGGTCGTCGGTCCCAACCACCAGCCCTTTTGTCCCACGGTGCCTCAAATGCACCATGGTACCCCTGTGAAAGCTGGGTGAAAACAAGTGCAGAAGGTGGTGAATGGTAACCTCACACGCCGCCAACTCCGCGTATTTTGTCAACGGCAGGAGTATTTTAAGCGTTTACGGGGAAGGTTGAGCCGGGCAGATCTGGTAGAATCGATAGAATTCCTCTGCTAATGGAAGAAGGGGGAAGGAATGACCGATCACGAAAGGGTATTCATAAAAAGCACAGTACCCAGGCCTATGGGCTTCCACAAAGTCCCTTCCGCTGGAACCATATCAATATGAGCGGGAATGTTATACTTTCCACGGAGAGCATCGATATGAACTTGCTCCATTTCGGAGAACACAGGGATAGGAGTGGGAGGAGGATCCTTAAGAAAGTTGCTTCGAGACATAGGGTGTCTTGGCAGCAACTCCTCCACGGTAGGAAAGCTATCCCCTTCCTCCACCATCACGCCCTCATCGCCAAAAGGGGGCACCACGGATAATGGAGTGGCGTCAGAAACCCCTTCTCGAGATCGATGTGTTCTAAGCATCTTTTTGGCAAAAAATATGGTAAAATAACAGAGAAAGCTAAGAACGAAGAACGGGGGAAGAAGAAGCAGAGAAAACGTTAGAAGCAAACACGGGAGAGATGTGAACGAATAACAAGAGACGAAATGGCCAAGAATGTTTTGAAAAAACAAACCCTCCCCTTTTTTAGGATTAGGTGGCACCAGAATTGAAGTGAAAGACTACAGAGTGGCACCGGAATCGAAGTGGAAGATTGCAGAGTGGCACCAAAATCGAAGCGACAAGCCGTCAGTCCCTGTCTCAAAAACACGCATAATGATGACGCATATGGAGATGACGTCATTTCCTGATAAGACACACCACCCTGGGTCTTGTTAAGCATGCTAAACCCCCATTGTTGGCCAAGTCATAACGCTCTGTGAAATCAAATTTCTCCACGAAGAATGGACAGTATCCGCTTATCAAGGACGCACCAAATTGCAACCTCGACAAGCGGAGGAACTAACTGTATGGGTCCAAATTTGGACGACCACAGCCATCGACAAATACGACAGAAGATGAGATCTTCATAGCTGGACGCCCTACGAAGGACGACAGACAGCGAACAGAGGACGTATAGCTTTTGCAGTAGTGTAGGCCCAATAGGGGGCATTAGGAATATACTCGCGAATATTCCCTATGATATGTTTTCTAGGGTTCGGAAGAGGGTTGTCCCTTATATATAGTGGGAAAAACACCTTGTTAAGGGACCTTTTGTTGACTCTTTCAGCTAAGAACTCGAATTGTAATACCTCTTCTATATCAAAGATTGGCATTCTCATTTGTGCGATGACCGACTTTCATAAGGTCAACAAATATCTTCCCATTGCGTTCATCATTTATATCTTCCGTTCTAGAGTTCACTATACTTAGCTAAGATTTACCCCTTCATTATCTTTAATTGATTTGTTCAAAAAGGTACCAATATCTTTTGAGTCAAACAGGTCTAAGGTTTGCATACACTCTACTCCTCAAACCTTATTTTGTAGGATTACACTGGGCTTGTCTGTTAGTTGTAATGATATGCAAGTATAACCCGACACTTTCTTTCCAAGTATGTCTTAGGTATGACTAGAATTATGACATGAATTTGATTCTTGTGGTGGTAATGTGGTGCCCTGAAAATGTTATTCTGAGAGATATTAATAAGTCCTTTTTGGAATAAGAGAGGTGCTTTACTATCTTTAACATAAACCTGTTACTAACTACCAATCGTAATAGGTAAACCTGTCATTAACTGCCGAGCGAAATAGCTAGGGGTACACATTCAATCAATTTGTCAAGTTAATCAAGTTTGCTTTGTGGATAAATAAACTGGTGATCGAGTTGAATTGAACTTGGTTAGAATTGATCTCAAACTTAAGATCTGAATTGTCCCCTTCCCTAGCAAACCTTGTTATATTTTAGCCAACTAAAACAAACATATTTAATTTTTTTTCAAATATATAGATCATCAATAATAATCAAGATATCCGTAAAATGTAGTAAAGGTTCCAAATCATGATGTCATATGAAACCAATTTAAAATTGAACTCACAATTTGTGTTGGATTGAGCTAGGAAGATTAGTGATCAAGGAGGAAATTAAAGAGAGAATTTTTTTTATATTTGTGAAGGATAGTTTTCATTCACTGTTCTTAATTTTCCTTGATTTGGTTTGATAATTCAAATGGCTAGAATACATGGGGTATTTATAGTAAAACTCCTACATGCATCTAGTCTACTTCTTATGTGGATACTAATTATGTTCACATAAGTTCACACATTACATAAATAAGTTCACACCTTAGTACATGTATGTAGATACTAATCTAGTTCATGAACTAATGTGAACTAGTATGGACTAGTGTAGACAAGTTTGAACATATGTGAACAAGTCTAGACAAATGTGGACATATGTGAACTAATGTGGACAAATGGGAAAAAGACAATACATTAATTTTAACACCCCCCCTCCCCCCTTAATGTTTTGTTCTTGCACTCCCAAAAGCTCACGAAATTTGATGAACTTCTCCTTGGGTAGCGCCTTCGTAAAAATGTCCGCAACTTGATCCTCGGACTTGCAAAACTTTGGCTCGATCACTCCTTCTTCAACTTTTTCTCTGATAAAGTGATACTTCACTGCTATGTGCCTTGTTCTGCTGCTGTAAATTGGATTCTTTGCCATTGCTATGGTTGACTTGTAGTCACAAAACAACTTTGTTGCGTTGTCTTGCTTTTCTCCAACATCTTCTAAAATTCTTCTAAGCCAGACTGCTTGAGAAGTTGCAATTGCTGATGAAATATATTCAACTTCTGCTGATGATTGTGCTACTGTTTCTTGCTTCTTTAATTGCTAAGAAAATGCTCCTGATCCAAGTAAAAACATAAAACCAGATGTGCTTTTCATGTCATCTTTTGAACCTGCCTAATCACTTGCTTCTTCACGTAGAGAGTAGGCTCGCTTTTGCTTTTAATGAACCCACTTTGCAAGAAGTACTTATCAATTTGACTGTACCATTGCCGGGGTGCTTGTTTCAACCCATACAAGGCCTTCTTGAGCTTGTATACTTTATCTTCTTCTCCTTTAATCACAAAGCCATCAGGTTGATGAACATAAATTTCTTCTTCAAGTTCACCATTTAAAAAAGCTGATTTCACATCAAGTTGATATAATAACCATCCCTTTTGTGCTGCTAATGCAATAAGTGTCCGAATTGTATCTTTGCGTGACACCGGTGCAAAAGTTTCATGATAATCAACATCAGCCTGTTGTGAATACCCTTTTGAAACCAATCTTGCTTTGTGCTTCATGATGGAGCCATCTGGGTTATTTTTCATCTTGTAAATCCATTTTACTCCAACATTTTTTCAATTTGTTGGCTTGTTTACCAACTCCCAAGTCTGGTTTTTCTCAATCATATATATAGCTCTTCTACCATAGCCTTCTTCCAAACTTCCTCCTTAACTGCTTCTTCAAAACTTGCTGGCTCAACCATGCTATAGTTGCATGAAGCATAAATGTTAGCAAGGTCTCTCATTTTAACCGGAGTACTTGTTGGACTCGAAGTGCTAGAGCTTGCTTCGTTGCTTGAAGGTGAGGAAGGATCAGCTTCTGGGACTTCTTCCTCCTTATTTTCTTCTTCATTCTCAGCCACCACTATGTTTTTGGTAGCCTCATTCTTTTCCCAATTCCATCTGGCTGCTTCATCAAACAACACATCTCTGCTTGTGATGACATTTTTCCTCTTCAAGCTATACATTCTATAGCCCTTTGATTTTGAGCTATAGCCAACAAAAATGCACTTCTCACTTGTTTCATCAAGCTTGCTCCTCTTTTCTTTCGGGATTGAAGCATAGCAAACGCACCCAAAAACTTTCAAGTGCTTCACTGAAGGTTTCCTCTTGCTCCAAGCTTCCAAGGGGGTCTTATTTTGCACTGCCTTGGTTGGACACCTGTTTATCAAGTATATCGTCGTATACACTGCTTCAGCCCAAAAAGTATTTGGCATTCCTTTCTCTTTCAACATAGTTTTTGCCATTTCAACAACCGTTTGATTCTTTCTTTCGGATACACCATTTTGTTGTGGTGTGTACCCAACGGTTAGTTGCCTTTCAATGCCTTCATCCTCACAAAATTTCTCAAATTTTTTTGAGGTATATTCTTTACCTCGATCACTTCTCAGCACCTTTATATATTTTCCACTTTGTTTTTCACAAGGCTCTTGAATTTTTTAAAAATGCCATACACCTCGAATTTTTATTTCATAAAATAAACTCAAGTCATCCGTGTATAGTCATCAATGAACAAGATAAAATACTTGTTACCTCCAAGAGATGTGGTACTCATTGGACCGCACACATCGGTATGGACCAGCTCCAAAGCTTTGTTTGCTCTCCAAACTCCGCCTTGAGGGAATGAGTTTCTATGGTGTTTTCCCATAGCACATCCTTCACAGACTCCATCCTTTTCTTCAATTTTTGGCAGCCCATATACCATTTCTTTTTCCTGCAACAATTTCATTCCATTAAAGTACAAGTGCCCTAGCCTTTTGTGCCATAGCCAGAATTCATCTTTCACTTGTGTTTTCATGGCTACTTCTCCCCCATAATTGAAGGTTAATGAGAAGCTTCTTCCTTTTTTCATCATTGCTTTTGCCATCAATTTGTTTCCACCTTTTTTATCATAAATTGTGCGACAATTGTTTTCAAAATAGATAGCATATCCATTTTCCACCAGCTGCCCGACATTCAATAAATTTTTATCTAAATCTGGAACCAAAAGTACATTATGGATGAACTTTGTACCTTCCTTTGTTTGGACACGGATTAAGCCCTTTCCAATTGCTAGAACAACGGTACCATTTTCCATTTTCACTTCAGCCTTCACTTTGTCATCCACACTTGTAAAAATGCTTTTGTTTCCGGACATATGATTGTTGCACCCACTATCCAACAGCCAAATATTGTGATTTTTCTCTTTGGCCATTTGACAGCTTGCAAAGAAATGACTTGCTCTCCTTTTTCTTCAGTGACTTTTGCTTGTTGTTGATTCTTAAATCTACAATCCTTCTCCACATGGCCAAACTTTTTGCAGTGGTTGCATTGTGGCTTTCCTTGAAACCAACAATCCTTGTCAACGTGGTTGCTTCTTTTGCAAATTCCATATTTTTGTTGGGAGTTGTTGGAGCTGTTTTCTAGTTGATTTCTTCCTCCTCCACGGCCTGATTTGCCTCCTTTTGATGATTCTCCTTGTGATTTTGTGGACACATTGAGCTTAGATTGTAAAGCACTCTCAATAGATTTTTCGGAGTGTCTTAACAACCTTTGCTCGTGTGCTTGTAGTGATGCCATTAACTCAAGGTTGTTCAACTTTGTGATGTCCTTAGTCTCCTCAATAATAGAGACTATGGAATCATATTTTTCAGTCAAACTTATCAAGATCTTTTCCACAATTTTCTTATCTTCAACAACTTCTCCATACAATAGCATTTGATTTGCTATTTCAACAACTTTGGAGCAATATTCTTTTAAACTTTCTCCATCTTTCATCTTCAAGTTTTCAAACTCACATCTTAGAGTTTGAAGATTGATGTTTCGTACACGTGTATATCCTTGAAATTCCTCACGTAGAGCCTCCCAAGCCTCATTTAATTTGATGTTGGCTCTCATGATTCTTGGAAAGATGAATTCACTCATTGCTTGTTCAATATAAGCAAGAGCTTTTGCATCTCTCCTTTTTGTCTCCTTTAGTGTTCTTGTTTCTGCATCTGTGAGTTCTGCTCCTTCTTCTGGTTCATTATAATCATTTTGAACCAGTTCTCACAGATCTTGTGCTTGAAAAACTATTTTAGCTTTCAAGTACCAAAAATCATAATTTTCTCCATTGAACATAGGAATGGATAGTTGAGCCACTCCTTGTCCATTAGTTAAAGCCATTGTTTAGATTTTCTTAACGCCCAACTTTTTAATCGAACGGGCTCTGATACCAATATGTTGGATTGAGGTAGGAAGATTAGTGATCAAAGAGGAAATCAAATGGGGAGTTTTTTTTTTATATTTGTGAAAGATAGTCTTCATTCACTTTTCTTAATTTCACTTGATTTTGTTTGATCATTCAAATGGCTAGAATACATGGGGTATTTATAGTAAAATTCCTACATGCATCTAGTCTACTTCTTATGTGGACATACTAATTATGTTCACATAAGTTCACACCCTAGTACATGTATGTAGCTACTAATCTAGTTCATGAACTAGTGTAGACCAATGTGAACTAGTGTGGACTAGTGTAGACAAGTTTGAACATATGTGAACAAGTCTAGACAAATATGGACATATGTGAACTAATGTGGACAAGACAATACATTAATTTTAACAGGGGGACATGAACCTGACCTCCAAGATTACAATGGACGTACACTTGATAACCCAAACTTGGTAACCAAGTGAATCCTGAGTAATGTGATGAGTTAGACCTATAGTGAGCATCCACTTGTCTATCCTAAACTGATAGACAAATGGATATACAAAGAACAAATTGAATTAAACCTAGGTCATCTATACAAAATGGCACAATTGATCCTAATTCTACTTGAGAGATGAGTTGGAAGATCTTCTTCCATATACAACAGATTCTACTTCTAAAAATAAAGTAGAAGTTCCCTGTGGTGTGTGACAGAAAACCTATGGCAGAGGAGGGAAATAAATTTTAATTTAATTTCAAGAGATATGTTTATTTTCTTGCAATTTCTCGAAGAATAAGAGTCAGTGGAAAAATATCTAATTTAGGAAGTGGTTTCAATAGTGTATTGTGTTTGTGATATAAAGCTTGTGATATAATTTCACCTACGTTTTGTAGGTCATTGAGTATCCTCAGTTATTTTCTATATCTATACTGAATGTCTTCTAAATCAGCCCCTTCCCTAATTATAAGGTGAAGAAACCCAAATTAATAAAATAAGTTATTGGAAAGGGCCCAAAATACAAAATAAATTGCAAGGAAATGAGATTCTCTTTAGATCTCTCCATCCGGTATTCCATATTTTGCCAGAAATATCTTAAGATTCAATTTGTTGTATGCGAATTCAATACCAATTTTTTATTCACGATATGGTATCTTTATTTGCAGTAATGTTTTGCTTGCTTTTATCCCTGATTTTTCTGTTGCACTTCTATTTTTAATTTATTTATTGATGTAATTTTGATCGTTTCTCCATCTTCTTTATCTAGGCATGTATATTACTGATGTTTAATATTCTTTATTTCAGTTTTCACTTTGTTGTGATAGTTATACCTATGTGTGTTCAGCATTTCAGACTCCGGTAAGTATTGCTTTTCTATTTGTATCGGACAAAATCTGACCACGCGGTAATTGTATGGGGTCGAATTGAATGATCACGTCCCCAAGTAAGCACGACTGACCGTATACACACAAGTCCGGCTGAAAAGGACGACTCAAGAACTGTACAAAGGACGACCTCGCAACCACGTCGGTCCCTCTATAGTATTTATTTTATCTTTATCTTTATGGTAGTAAAAACAGAGCCCCTCCGCTATATAAGGGGAGCGGGAAGGGAGAAAAAGGGAGGAGGATTAATTTCTCGACTATTCTCAGAAAAAATAACAAAAATTGTAATTTCTTGGATCCTCCAAGGGGAGACAGGATAAACTCCGATGTAGAAATAAAAATCTCCCAATTTTTATCTCTACGAAGGCTTCCGCTTTACTCTTCTGTCTTTCGATCTGGTATCAACTATAATTGATACCCTCCTTGTATACTGATTGATTTGCTTAAAAATCGTTCGATAATTTTTAAGTCAAACAATTTGGTGCCGTCTGTGGGGATTTCCTAGTGAAAGCACTTAGTTCTTCCCGGATCGAAGCAAAAGAGACACCAAGAGGTTCTTCCCGGATCGTGGAGGGGAAGAACCTCCCCCCGATTCGACTCCCCCTCATCCTCACACCGTGTCAGGCCGGAAACCGACGCAACTGCAAACGAGGAATCAAAAATTACCCTGAAGCAACCTGAATGTCACGGTCAAACAGATAATCATTCAGTTCGACCTCGCTCGAACTGGGACTCAGGCTAAGTGCCTTCATCATCAAAGTATTACAGTTCGACCTCGCTCGAACTGGGACTCAGGCTAAGTGCCTTCATCATCAAAGTATTACAGTTCGACCTCGCTCGAACTGGGACTCAGGCTAAGTGCCTTCGTCATCAAAGTATTACAGTTCGACCTCGCTCGAACTAGGACTCAGGCTAAGTGCCTTCGTCATCAAAGTATTACAGTTCGACCTCGCTCGAACTAGGACTCAGGCTAAGTGCCTTCGCCATCAAAGTATTACAGTTCGACCTCGCTCGAACTGGGACTGAGCCAAAGTGCCTTCGCCGGGGATTGTTACGGTTTGACCTCGCTCGAACTGGGACTCAGGCTAAGTGCCTTCGTCATCAAAGTATTACAGTTCGACCTCACTCAAACTAGGACTAAGGCTAAGTGCCTTCGTCATCAAAGTATTACAGTTCGACCTCGCTCGAACTAGGACTCAAGCTAAGTGCCTTCGCCATCAAAGTATTACAGTTCGACCTCGCTCGAACAGGGACTCAGGCTAAGTGCCTTCGTCATCAAAGTATTACAGTTCGACCTCACTCGAACTAGGACTCAGGCTAAGTGCCTTTGTCATCAAAGTATTACAGTTCGACCTCGCTCGAACTAGGACTCAGGCTAAGTGCCTTCGTCATCAAAGTATTACAGTTCGACCTCGCTCGAACTGGGACTCTGGCTAAGTGCCTTCGCCATCAAAGTATTACTGTTCGACCTCGCTCGAACTGGGACTCAGGCTAAGTGCCTTTGCCGTCGAAGTATTACGTTTCGACCTCGCTCGAACTGGGACTCAGGCTACGTGCTTTCGCCATCAAAGTCGACTAAGTGCCTTCGGCATCAAAGTATTACAGTTTGACCTCGCTCGAATTGGGAATCAGGCTAAGTGCCTTCGCCATCAAAGTATTACAGTTCGACCTCGCTCGAACTGAGACTCAGGCTAAGTGCCTTCGTCATCAAAGTATTACAGTTCGACCTCGCTCGAACTAGGACTCAGGCTAAGTGCCTTCGCCATCAAAGTATTACAGTTCAACCTCGCTCGAACTGGGACTCAGCCTAAGTGCCTTCGCCGTCGAAGTATTACGGTTCGACCTCGCTCGAACTAGGACTTAGGCTATGTGCCTTCGCCATCAAAGTATTACAGTTCGACCTCGCCCGAACTGGGACTCAAGCTAAGTGCCTTCGCCATCAAAGTATTACAGTTCGACCTCGCTCGAACTAGGACTCAGGCTAAGTGCCTTCCATCAAAGTATTACAGTTCGACCTCGCTCGAACTGGGACTCAGGCTACGTGCTTTCGCCATCAAAGTCGACTAAGTGCCTTCGGCATCAAAGTATTACAGTTTGACCTCGCTCGAATTGGGAATGAGGCTAAGTGCCTTCGCCATCAAAGTATTACAGTTCGACCTCGCTCGAACTGGGACTCAGCCTAAGTGCCTTCGCCATCAAAGTATTACTGTTCGACCTCGCTCGAACTGGGACTCTGGCTAAGTGCCTTCGTCATCAAAGTATTACTGTTCGACCTCGCTCGAACTGGGACTCAGGCTAAGTGCCATCGTCATCAAAGAATTACAGTTCGACCTCGCTCGAACTAGGACTCAGGCTAAGTGCCTTCGCCATCAAAGTATTACAGTTCGACCTCGCTCGAACTGGGACTCAGGCTAAGTGCCTTCGTCATCAAAGTATTACAGTTCGACCTTGCTCGAACTGGGACTCAGGCTAAGTGCCTTCGTTATCAAAGTATTACAGTTCGACCTCGCTCGAACTAGGACTCAGGCTAAGTGCCTTCGCCATCAAAGTATTACAGTTCGACCTCGCTCGAACTGGGACTCAGGCTATGTGCCTTCGCCATCAAAATATTACAGTTCGACCTCGCTCGAACTGAGACTCAGGCTAAGTGCCTTCGTCATCAAAGTATTACAGTTCGACCTCGCTCGAACTAGGACTCAGGCTAAGTGCCTTCGGTCGAAGTATTACGATTCGACCTCGCTCGAACTGGGACTCAGGCTAAGTGCCTTCGCCATCAAAGTATTACAGTTCGACCTCGCTCGAACTGGGACTCAGGCTAAGTGCCTTCGTCATCAAAGTATTACAGTTCGACCTCGCTCGAACTGGGACTCAGGCTAAGTGCCTTCGCCATCAAAGTTTCGACCTCGCCCGAACTGGGACTCAAGCTAAGTGCCTTCGCCATCAAAGTATTACAGTTCGACCTCGCTCGAACTAGGACTCAGGCTAAGTGCCTTCGCCTTCAAAGTATTACAATTCGACCTCGCTCAAACCGGGACTCAGGCTAGGTCCCTTCGCCATCAAAGTAATACAGTTCGACCTCACTCGAACTATGACGAGTTCCACCCCCCTCAACTAGATCACGAATCAATGAACTGAAATGCAAGGCAAATAGCGAGAAAGAATTCTTTATTAATGGAATCAGAAATGCGGACCTTCGCTGCTTACATCCGGTCCGAACCAGCCGAAAGAGAGAAAATCGACAAAGAAAACAAGGAACAAACAAACGCCCATCGGCGTAACCAAACGAAATACGAGGAACAAACAAACGCCCATCGGCGTAACCAAAGAAAACAAACCAACACAAACAACGAAACAAGAGTCTCTCTCATTCGGCGCCAATATCGCCGTCGCCATCATCACTTCCATAAGGACCATCATCATCGCCACTTGGACCACCATCGGCTTCGGGCGTCGCCACATCATATCCGCAGTTGGCTCGAGCCTCCCGAGCTTTCTGGCGTGCCTCCTCGAAATCCGCCTCAGACACGATGCCCGCCTCCAGCAAGTTCTTGAAAATGTCACGCTGAGCCTCGGTAT